TTTAATAATATATATTAAAATTTCCCTTAATAAGGGAATTTAGTATTTAAATTTACTGTATTTTTATTATGCGTATATTATAGTTACTAAGGCCTAAATTTTAAGTTTTAAGCTATTTTTTTCTTCTTTATTAAAATCCTATCTAACTTTTTTAACTCTAACCTTAATAATTACATTAAAAACTCCTATAACCCAACCTATAACTAAAATACTTTAAGATTCCTAATATCTATAATATCCCTTATTTAAATCCCCCCTCCAGCTAGCATCTTAGATAGCTAGTATCTATACTAGCCCAACGCAGTATAATAACTCCTAGAATTAGGAGTTATATTTTTCACAGCTAATTTCTACAAGAAACTTTTAGCCCCTATTATTATTAGTATTTTTAATATTATTAGCTAGGTTATATAATATGCCTATTTCTATCTGGATAAATATAATATTAATACCAGTAGCCTAACTTTCTTATAGATTAGCTCTATTTCTATTATTAAGAAATAAACTATATTTAAAAATAGCTAATATAATTCTTTAATTTCTATTTAGGTATTTTAGGTAGTATAGTAAGAGGTCTAGGAAGTTTCTTTTTCTAAGGAATTTTAGATAGTTATCTAACTTGTATCTTTTTCTTTTATCTTAAAGATTTTAATAGAATTCTATACTATATTGAAATCTAGATTTGTATTTCTGATATATAGGGATATATATAATAAGAGCCTTGCAATTAATAGCAGTTAATATAGTAATAAGTTATTTAGATAAAATTTATTAAGATAGAATAAGTATTAAAAGGGAAGTTAGTCCCTTAATAATAGAAGATATTAATCTCTTTTATATTTTATTGCTTGGAATAAGATTACTATCTTAAGGTTATTAACTGCAGATAGTAAGGTTATTAACTACAGATAGTAAGATTATTAATTATAGATAATAGAATTAAAGTTAAAGGGGTTAAATAGAAGCTTTAGGTAGAGACTGGTAAGTAATAATCTTATTATTTAGCTATTATTTCTTCTAGTACTAGGTATAGCTCTTATTATTTATTTCTATTATTTAAGATTACTATATAACTTTAATTTATCTGATAATATTAAGTAAAGCTAAAAAAACTAAATATATTAAAATTTATATTAATTTATAAAACTTTTTAATCTTTTAATTATATTCTTAAATAGCTTAATTTTAATATAAAAACTTAGTATTTATTAACTTACTTATTTATATCTTTTATTATTATACTAATCTAGCTAATTACTTTATTATTTATTTATTTTCTATTTTAATTTATAGCTAGTTAATCTTATTTTATAAAAATAAATACTTTAATATACTCTTACTATATTAGTTTTTAATATATAATTATAGAATATATAGTAATATATTATAGATTAATAGCTTATTTTTATTCTTTTTTATTCTTATTTATTCTTTTTAACTTAACTCTTAATAATTTATAAAATATAATACTTTAATAGCTATTATAATTAACTTACTTAATATCTATTATATCTTAGCTATTATATTATATATAATATTTAATATCTTATTTATATTAATTTTTATATTATTATACTTAATTTTATTACTAAATTAATTAATCTTTTTTTTACTAGATATTATAAATTAAATCCTTATTTTATATATTTATATATTAATAATTTAATTTATTAGTATTAAGTTTACTTTTTTTAATTAAGTATTTAAGTTATAAATTACTATATCTTTTTATAAATAATATAAAATAACTTATTTGCTTTTTTTTAAGCTTTTTACTTATTTATAATTTATTATAAGTATATAATTTATTTATGCTATTTTAATATAAATTAATATAATATTAAATATTATATTTTCTTAATAATAATAAATAATACCAGTATATAATTAGCAGCTATAATTTACTCTTTATTAATATCTAACTTTATAATAGCTAATATATTAATAATAATATTATTATAATACTAGCTAGTTTTTAATAAGTAGTTAAAAAACTTAATAATAATATTAATATAATACTACTTTAATTATTTATTTATAAATTAGCTAATAATATTAATTTTAGGTATAATCTATATAATATCTTATATAAATATAGCTTATATCTTTTTCTACTATATTATTATATAGTATATTAACTTTTTATTTATATACTTATATTAACCTTTTTAATTATTAGAGTTATTTAAATACTTTATATTATTTATACTGTTTATATTTATATTCTTTATATTATTTATATTTATATTTTTTAAATTTCTTATCTTATCTTTCTTTTTTATAACTTTAATTATACTTAAATATATATTATAATTTACTACTATATCTTATATTATATTTATATATCTAGCTTTATAATCTTTTTAAATAGCTTATAAAAGATAATAGTTACCTCTTTTTATTTAATTTTAAATAACTTAATAGTATCTAGGCTATAATAGCTAATAGTTATATATATATTATTTAATACATACTTAAAAATCTTTTATATCTTTTATAATATCTATTTATTCTTTTTAATTAATTATAATATCTACTCTTATAATTAAATCTTATTAATATAGGCTAAATATACTAGCTATTTAATATACTTTAATTATCTTTTAGCCTTTTACTTATTACTAGTATTTTAAATCTAAGTATTAATTTTATTTTTAAATATCTATTAAGCTTATTACTATATAATTATAATAAACTTAATTTAATAGCTAGCTTTATTTTTATTAGACTTTTTATTATTAAATAAAATAGTTTATTTAACTTTAAATTAATTACTAGCTATATAATTACAGAAAAAATACTGGTATTAAATATCTATTCTTTATAATATAGATAGTATAGCTACTTTAAATATATTCGTATACTAACCTTACTTATAATTATTAACCTAATTATACTTATCTTAATAATATTATTATATTTATTTAATTTATTAGGCTATATATAGGTATTCATTATATTTTAATTTATTTTTCTTTAATAGTAGGATATAGAAAATAGAGGCTATTATTAAAGGTAAAATTAATTAATTTTTTAACTTCTTTTAATTATAAATAATATCTAAAATTACTTCTACTATAACTTAGATTTTTTTTAATTTAGTACTTATTAGTAATTTAATATACTTTAATATAATATACTAAGTTATTTTATTTTTAATATATACTACTTTATATATTTAGTAAATTATAAATAGCTTTATTTTAATAATATTTATATATAATATTTATACTTTATTATATTATCTTAACTATTTTTTTTTTAATATTTACTTTTTACTAGTTATTATAATAAAATTAGAACTTTAAATTTAATTTTTATCTTAATTAATTTTTTTACTTAATATCTCTTTTACCTATACTAACTTTTCTATAGACTTTACTCTTAATATTCTTAACTTAATATATCTATAACTTTAACTATATTATAATACTTTAATTTAAATTCTTTTAATTTATAATTTAAAATAAAATATCTTTTAATTAATATCTTCTTATATATATATTTTATTTTTATTTTTACTATTCTAATTTTAATAGAATTCTTTATTAATATTTTTAATAGAACTTTACTTTATATTATTAATAGTATAATTTCTATTTATATAGGTTCTTAATAGACCTCTTTAAAGAGTTTCTATATACATTGTAGGTAGATTATATTAAAGTTAGAATTTATAATATAAATATAATAAGTTATTTCTAAAAAGAGCTACTTAAGTAAAATTTACTATATTAAAAATTAATTATAATAAGATAAGTATTAAAAGAAAAGTTAATTTCTTAATAATAAAAGATATTAATTTCTTTTATATTTTATTACTTAAAATAAAATTACTATTTTAAGGTTATTAATTATAGATAGTAAAGTTATTAACTATAAATAATAAAGTTAAAGTTAAAGAAGTTAAATAGAAGCTTTAAGTAGAAATTAATAGGTAATAATCTTATTATTTAGCTATTATTTTTTTTAATATTAAGTAAAGTACTTATTATTTATTTTTACTATTTAAAATTATTATATAGCTTTAATTTATTTAATAATATTAAGTAAAGCTAAAAAAAAGTTAAATAACTATAAATTTAAAGTTTTATATATATTATTATCTTTAGTAAAGTAATATTAGTTATTATATAATTTTATTATATATAAGCTTAATATTATCTTTTTTAATAAACTAAATAAATTTAAGTTTATATTAATTATTTTATATAGCTTTATTATATTATATAAATACTATAAATATAATAATATTAATATAGCCTTTTTTATTAATTATAAATATAATTTATTTCTAGCTATAATAATATTACTTATAATATAATTTAAAGCTAGTAAAAATAATATCTTAATTTAATTTAATTAGCTAGTAATATTTATAAGAATATTAAAATAGCTTATTAACTTTAAATAATCTTATAATAAAAATAAAAATAATAAAACTTCTATTAATTAGAAGATATAAACTTAAAATTAAATATGTTTATATATTAAGAAGTTTTAAAGCTATTATTAAGTATATTTAGTAATAATATTTTACTTTACTTTCTTTTTTAGTATATTATACTTTTAAGATTATCTATACTTTTTAGGTATTTTAGGTATAATAAGTAAGATATAATATTATAATAATTAACTTAAGCTATATTAAAGTTTTTATAGCTTAATAAAATAAGCTTACTTTTAAGTTAACTATAAAATTCTAATTAAATTAGTATATAACTGTAAAAATTAAATACAGTTAATATATAACTACTAAATTCTAATTAGCTAGAGATTTAAGTGCTAAATTCCAAATAAGTTAATATAATAACTATAAAACTTAAAAGAGTAATTTTAACTAACTTAAATAGCTTTATATACAAGAATATCACAAGGTATAAAATAGAAGCCTTATAGCTTAGATCATTTCTAAAGCTTTAACAATATAGTTTTTAAGCCACCCAACTATTTCGGAGACAACTAGATGCAACTAGATTCAGTTCCAATCTCTTTTACAGATGGAACCCGTTAGCCTCGCTCTAGGTATCATCCCTCTCGTCGGCAGGTCCCTAAAGGTCTACAAATGCACCTCCTCGCGACTCAAAACATTCCGCCATTATTCAAGAGAGGTGGACCGTGTCCGGAAGAGTTTTGACCGCCAAAGGTATATCTTTCTCAATGAGGTCCATCTTGTTCTTCGCTTGGTCCTTGAGGATGAGTCATTGGCCCAGGACATGATTGACGATGGCGCGCACAAAAAGTGGAGGAGCTCTAGCTTGGAGGATTCCATGGCAGAACGCCTCGGGAACAATTCCCAATACTTAAAGAAAACCATTGAAGATATTGGAACAATTGTCAGCGATGTGGAAAAGGGCTTGGAGTGCTTTAGCGGCCTAGATAAAGAACGGCTCGAGGTGAGCTGCCCATCGGATTTCCACGGACTAGCGATGACTGACGAGAATCAACCACGCAGAATGAGCGGCTCAAAGACACAGTAAGACGCGTCAGAGATCGCATAACCATTGTATTCGATAAGTCCAAGTTTGAGAAATGGACCAGCGACCTCCGAGATTCCAACAGCGACCTGAAACTGTTCCGCGAACAGATAGGCGAGCTTTGCAAACCCATTACTCGGACCCGTCGGTGGAAGCATTATGGAACCGCGCGGCGGCTGCATAAATACACATTCGAAAACTACACCAACACTAGGATGGCCTCACAAGCACTGCACGAGGAATTGTGCACCGCCTGGTCGACGCCAGATTCTGCGCACTTTCGACACTCGGTCCGACTGTTCCTGGAGACAACATGCCGCGACGAGGTTCAGTTAGATCTCATCATCTCATGCCTCGAGCATAAAATGAAGCAGGCCCAGAGTCAGACAGCGTCTTATAATGCCAGACTAGCATCTAGCCTAGCCCTGGCGAATACGATGACTGTCCACGTCAAGTCAAAGGCGCTGGTGATATTGGGCCCTGGGTTTATCACGACATTGCTGGATTCCAACAATACGAGACAAAAGCGTCGACAAGTTGTAAGATTCGAAGACGACATTGACGAAGACTGCGAGATCCAGAAAATTGCGTCGTCAACTTCTCGGGAAGTTGCCCTTGACCTCCAGCGCACACAACATTTCTGTTCAGAACTTGTTCCCAAGATTGCTCACCAACGACCAGAGGCCCCCTCTAATGTCTCTTGCAAAAGGCGAAATTACACAGCTGAATGCCTCGGATACTTGGATACTTGGACGCGTGATGAGTATCGACATTCCTTTTTCCTATGCTGCGAAGGCGTCTGCAACCCTAGCCTCTGCAAGGGTGAAATCAAGCCCGAAGGGCTGACCCGAATGGATGAGATGCTGGCGCAACCTCGCAGCGATGAACTATCCATTCCCGAGCAGCTTCGCCTTGCACTGCACTTGGTATCGGCTATGCTGAGGTTCAACTCGACGTCATAGCTCGGAGAATGCTGGGAGCTGCAAGATTTGTACTTTTTCGAATAAGACTCTGACCTGGCGGCTTCGTTGAAGATGCTGCATATCAAAGCGGACTGGTCTAAAAGTCCTGCAGGAGAACTGATGGAGGTGGACTCTGCTGGCGACTCGAGGTTCTTTGAGGAGGCTAAGCTGATTCACAGGATATACAACGCCACAGCCTATAATCTGGGAGTGGCACTTTTGTCGATTGGACGCTGGGCGAAGGTTGACCCAAACGACGTGTTAAATGTTCGTCTGATAGCCTCTCAACCTTGTCCTCTAGGTCCCAAGTACCAAGAGATGACGCAAAAGGTTCTCGAGTGTGATTTTGGTTGTGGCAAGGATTTAAGCAAGACTCCATTGCAACATGCGATATATGAAGGGATTATGCTTGAGCTAGAATCCATGATATCGAGTCTTAGCATTAGGTAGAAGTCTGTTTGCGGATTGCCAGCTTTATGACAGCGTGGTGGGCTCCGCTCACTCTCGTCCGCGGCCGTTTGAGGAACTTGCGATATTCACGTATCAACGCCTACAGATAGCAGAAATTTGTTTTGGGTGCACGGAAATGCGTTGGCAGAAAAAATCCTTTTCCTTACTTTACTTGTTTTACACTCGTTACACTCGAGCAAGGGGTTTTTTTTTAAAATACCTAATATCCAATACCTTTTCCCTTAGACGTGTTCCATTCAGACTAACGGGTGTAAACGGGTCTTGGTATTCAATTTAAGGCTTCCTAGGCTAGCTATTGGCCCTATCGGTTTCCGACGCACGGTGTTATTCGCCACGACACGTTCTTAATCCACCCATTCAGACTGACATTGTAATCAAAGGAGGTCCCAGACATTTCTCCCGACTACTCATCCAATCTATTCCCGTGGGAATCACTTTCAAACTCGAGTATATCGAGCCTTGTAAGCGCCGATGAAGCGAGCCCTCTTGTTTGCAGGCGCTGCCACGCGCTCACATACTTCACCGCCATCGCCATTTCCGCAACGCAATGGGAGGAGGCAGCAGCCATCGTCGGCGAACTGCTCAAGGCCGTTGGCGCCTTCGCCAAGAGACACGCAATCAGGGCCATTGGGGAAGCCGCAGTTCTCGTCGTTGGTGGCGTCTGCGGCAGCGTCGGTTGCATTATCGTTGCCATTGGCATCTTCGTCAACGACTTCTTGGCCAGCTTCATCGACGGCATCGTTGGCGTTATTGGCACCACCGTTGGCGACATCATCAACGGCATCGTTGGCGTTATCGTCGACAACATCATTGGCGTTATCGTCGACAACATCATTGGCGTTATCGTCGACAACATCATTGGCGTTATCGTCGACATTGTTGGCACCATCGTTAACAGCGTCATCGACATTATTATTGGCACCATCGTTGACAATGTCATGAACGTTACCATTGGCGTTAGCCGCGTTACCATTGGCGACGTCGTCAGCAGTTTGGTTTGCACCGTCGTTGGCATTGGTGGCGTTATCATTAGCATTGTTGGCATTGCCATTAGCAGCGTTGTTGGCATTGTCGTTGCCATTGCCATTGGCGGCGTTGTTGGCAGCGTTGTTGGCATTATCATTGCCATTGCCATTGGCGGCGTTGTTGGCGGCGTTGTTGGCAGCGTTGTTGGCGGCATCTGCAGCGACTCTCTCACACCTCTCGCCGCCATCTCCATTTCCGCAGCGGATGGGCAAAAGGCAGCAGCCATCATCAGCGAACTGCTCTAGGCCATTTGCCCCTTCGCCAAGGGATACGCAATCGGGGCCATCAGGAAAGCCGCAGCTATGTATCGGTTAGTCAGTGTTGTCAGATGAGCATAAAGGAGTCTTACCCGTCCTGGGCCAGGGCGCTAGCAAAGAAAAGAGACAGAATAACAGAAGACTTCATTTTGGAATTATGAAGGAAAGAACGGGAATAAAAGTTCTGCCAGCAGATGTGAATTAGTGGTGAAAAAAGAAAGAATAAAAAGAAAGGCCTGAAGCTCGTAGAATTGCGGGATGATGGACAGAGTAGTTCTTTGGACTGCCGACAACCAGATCTTTAATACTCTTTCCAATTCCTCGAGAATGTTCAAAATAAGCTTAGATGGATGCTTGAGCGCAGCTGAGGAACCCCTGGTGTCGCATCCAGCCACTCTTGTCTCAGGCTGGTTTCCAAGCCTGTCACCCACAGTCCCACACACAATGTCACGTCGGAGGTTCCAGACGCTGGAAGACTTTTCTCTAACGAACTTTTATTCAAGCATACGTTTTGGGTGCTGTTAAATGTGACATCCTGTCACGTCGAAACCCTAGATCGGCGGCTAGCCTTGTCAGAGGTTATTTAGCCAAGCAACTAGTGTCGCTCTCGTCCGGTCTATCGCTCGAATTAGTATGTCTTCCAGTGCCCCGAATCATCTAGCTCTCTTAGCATGTCAAACACCGCTGATCATTGTTGCTTATTATGTCGGTGGGGAAGTTACAGAGCGGCTGACGATGATACTTGCTGATGTAGCAAAGTTCTTTAGGCAAAGTGCGGCGAAACAAGACATTCTCCGGAGACAGGGGGCAAGTGTTATTTGAAAACGTAATGGAAATTGATGAAGCATACGAGTCGAGCAATGAGAGGAAGTCTGGGAGAGAAATTGGCAGAGATTCTACAAGCTGATACGCCTGACATGCATTTACCCAGCAAATATGCGCACTCCTGTGCAATGAATTATCTCACTTTCCAGGGTCCTAGAGGGGTCTCGTAATTTCACTTCAGCTCAACCCCCCGTTCGTCCCTCACTCTTCTCCAGTTCAATGGGCCGTCGCTCACCAAAGACTTGTGTGGCATCAGAATTGACAAGTTGCGAAGAGGGTGGTTAGGGACTTGGCATCGGGACTCTAGGGTAGGGTGACCAACATCCAACACAAGGAGTGCATTTGTAGCGTAACAAACTCCTCTGAGATTGAAATTGTAGAGAGAATGAATGGAAACGGATGGGATGTGTTGTTGCCCTTTTTGAACCTGAGAATAATGGTAGTGTAGCAAACTACGGGGTAATCATCGTAATGAATATTAATGGAGGCATCATTGGCAGCAGCAGCAACACAAGACTAGCGCACAACGTTTGCGCACCTTGCCAGGGGCGGTATCCCATCGCGAAGGCGAGGAGCGCCTTTACCTGCGGCCTAACAGGAATGACCTATACTGCTGCTCAGGCTATCCAATATGACGGATACCTCGCTCGTGCAGTGGCTAGATGCCTGGGCTTCTTGCTTTCTAGTTACAATCGAGTCCGGTAACCCCCCTACTCCCACAAATATCATCCAACACGTTTAGGGGCGGAGTCGCCGAGGCGGCACGATTTCTTCGTCTACAACTTTACAAATGTATGCTTAGTCTTCTTCATACCACTTACAAGAGCCCTCGAAAAGTCCTTACCTTGTACTACTCCTGCGTTCCACACTTTAGCATATCGCAGGCTCTCCGCTACCGCATAATCCCGTCTGTAGTTAAGTAGCTCCTTAGTTTTTTATACTGCAATAAAGCCCTTCTCTATAAGTATTAATGCAATAGCTATTATAGCTTGTATTACTTTAGCCTTACTCTTATATATTTAGCTTATAAACTCTATTATAAGAGCCTTCTAAGCTAAAAAGTCTTATATAGTAAGATATATATCTTTAACTTAAGATATTAATTTAATAATCTTAGAGAGATAAATAAATATATTTATATTAGCTGCTAAGCTAATATTAACTTTTTTAATAGAGAAATAAATATTAGATATATAGATATAGATATTAGTATAGCAGGCAATATTAATAGCAAGCTTAATAGAGATATTATAAAGTATATATAATATAATTTATAAGTAAGTAAGCTACTTAAGTAAGTAAGCTACCTTTAAATTCTATATAAAATACCATTTTTAACCCCCTTATAAAAACTATTAGAATCTAATTAAACTTAACTAAAAGTTACTTATATATTTACTGTAATATAATAATAGAATATTATTTTTCTGAGATTTTATATAATTATTTTTAAGAAGTTATTTTAAAATTTTAATATAAGATATTCTTATAAATAGAAACTTAAAATATCTCTATAAATAAAATTATATAAAATCTTAGAAAAATATTAAGCTATTATTATATTAAAGTAAAATATATAAGTAATATATTATTAATTTTTATTAGAAACTTATAGTTTTTATAAGGGGGTTAAAAATGGTATTTTATATAGAATTTAAAGGTAGCTTACTTATTTAGGTAGCTTACTTACTTATAAATTATATTATAACTACTAAATATTATAAAATCTATTAGTATTATATCTACTGCTAATAAAATATAATTTATACTTTTTATATTTTTCTGCTGTATTTATATAATCCTGAAATTTTTTAATAAAGCTCCTTAGTTTCTTTGCTTTTTTTACTATATCTATTAGCTTATAATTAAGTTACTCTGCGCTGCGTATTTAACGTTCAGTCCCGCCGAAAACGCCCCATTGAAGATAATAACAAAGATAATAACAATAACAATAACCATAATAACACTAATAGTAAATGTTGAAGGAAGTCCACGGCCGCCTACGGCGGCTGTGGCCTCAGGCAGCCGGGACCTCATACAGGCTCCAATTCCCTCGCCTAGCTAGCTAGTGATAATCAACAAGGCACACATCGTTGACCTCTTAACAGCTTTCAACCCTGACTCGACCTTGGTCAATCGGACGCGGTGGGCCAACAGCGGCAAGAGACTGACGACGAGGGTGGAGAAGAGATCCTTGAAGTCCTATCGTACAACCAAAGTCAGCCAATGCTCTGGCGAAAGGGGTTCGGGAGGCGGCGTTTCAAAAGGGGGGTTGTCGCATGCCTCGCGCGGAACGCCGCACATTGGCGCACCAAAAACGGTTAGGTAGGTGAAAGTGGTAGAACTATCGCACATACGGTCGTGAACGGCCGGTCGTCATCCGTCGTGCGCAGCAAGCGCGAGGATGTTTGGTGCATCTTGTTTGCCGTGACGGGAGACTTGATGGGAGGTGGTTGGTTGCGATTTGTGGCCGTGTGGATATGCCATACTCCCCATCAGGCAAGACAGCGATAATGATGTTGTGTTTTTTTATTTTTCCCAGTGTATAATTATTATTATTATACTAGGCGATATATATTCTGGTCTTTTGTATTCCTCGTTGAGAAAAATTTATATAATAATATATTCCGTTCTTATAGTATATATCTAACTGACTGTATAGTTATTAGGTTAAGATATATTTGCTTGTAGGATAATCTAGAGGTAAGGTAAGTTATAAAGAATAATTAGTATTTAGTTATTAACGCTTCTTAGAAAGATTATTTGCCTCTACTTGGATAAATTGGATTCGCCTGCAGATTGATATAATTACTAAGTATAATAACTAACTTAATAGTATAACTTATCCCCTCTAATTATAGAAATTTAGTAGAATTTTAAAATTTATATTAAAGTTTAATTAATAGAATATATAATATCTTAAAAAGAATAATAATTATAAAAAAAGCTAGAATATTATAACTATTACTTAAATAAAAATCAGTTCAGCAGCATTAGATAGTATTAAGCAGAAGCAAGTCAGTAAGAAATCTGGTTAGTTATCTGCTGAGGCCACCCCCCTCGACTGCATGCACTTGCTCGCAGTTGAATGAGCACCTCTGGCCCAATAATATCATTCTTATGCTGGTACGGCAGGGCGGCATCACACGCTCTTCACCAATCATACGTTATTGTTGTGTCCAGTCCGCCGTCCACAGCAACGCCTCGTCTCTTCAAGGGACCTGCTTATGGGCAAATTCTCCAAGGCAGCAGAGTCGAGTCGAGTTCGTGCTTCCCCGTCGCCGACGTGTTCGGGCTGACAAACGTGTCAATAGAGTTCTCCGTTCTCCATCCCAGCCAGTCGAGTACGAGAGCAGCATGGCGCCGACGCGTTAGGTGATGGTCTTCGTTGAATTGAGCGAGGAGTTTGCGCCCATCGACTGCCCGGATTTAAATTCGGCCGCTAACCGGGCCAAGGTGGGGATGAACCTGGTGTACAAATTGGTCCCACTCTTCCTATCTCCCATCGCTTGCGTCATTGCCCCCTTATTGCAGCAGCCTCTCTGGTGATGCCGTGTCCAGATTGCTATTACAAGTATCTCCGAAGTCGGAATGACAACCGAGGCAAGTCTCTTCTCACAGAGCCCCCTATTCACCGTCATAACCACATCCTTACTACAATTTCCTACCTTGTTTGGGTCGCTTTTCCATCACTATTGGCTGGTTTTGGCTAACTTGATCGCTCCGCTTTAGCGCGAGAAGTTCGTCCACAAGCCCAACCAGAATCACAGAATGCTGATTTCGGGGCTGCAGGCAGGCCTTTCTTGCTCGCCTCTGCGAGCAAGCTGGGCGTTACGATGATACGGTCACCCACGTGAATGAAGTCGCGAAGGCCGGCGGTGAGTTCAGTTCCGAAGAGCAGAAGCTCCTCAGCACTGCATATAGGAACGTGGTAGGCAGCCGCCGTGCCAGCTTGCAGATCATCTCCTCCAGCGAGGAATCGGAGTCAAGCAGCGAGAAGTATGCGACTGCTATCTAGGAATACTGCTATAAGATTCTAAGCAAGCTTAAGAAGTTCTATAAGGATATTTTAAAGCTGCTTAACAAGAGATTAATCTATAATACTACTATAGGTATATTTAAGATATTCTACTATAAGATATATACTTATTTTAACTGCCTTTTAGATATAGATTTACTTATTATACTATAGAAAAGGTAACTATAGTTATTATCTAGTGGAATTTAAGTTAGATAAGAAGTATAATACTACTATTATTTCTACCTAAGAGGCCTATAAGATAGCTTTTAAGTATATAATCTAATTTAATTAATACTATTAGAGATACTTATATATTCCTCTTTAAACTGCTACTGATATTACCCAGGTCGAGCTTATTACTACCTATCTTTTATGCCTAGATATAGCTCTAACTTCTCTATCTTCTACTATAAAATCCAGAACTTACTTAATTATACTTACAATCTAGCCTAGCAGGCTATCGATAATACTATAGCTGAGCTCTGCTTCTTGTCCGAAGAATCCTTTTACGACTCCACACTTGTCATACAGCTTCTCCGTGACAATCTACTTAATTGGACGTTTTTGGATATAGACGAGCTGGAGACTCACCTTGCGACTCCGAAGATGGCTGAGGAGGCCTAGGCTATGGGCGCCCGAATTTGTGACTAGGAGGAAATGTGGTTAGGACGTACGGACTAGGAAAATATGTGGTCAGGATCTCTGTGCTGGGTACCGGATGGTCCAGACGGAGTGTGTCACGGATCCCAACACAAGATCGTCGTCTGCATATGCAAGTCGCAAACAGATGGCTGGAGTGAAGCACCAGACCCCAACCTTTCAACCGCAATCGAGTCGTTGCAGCCGCGGGCAGCTCGGCTCGTCGCAAACCCCAGAGTCGCAACCCGCTCACCAGCAAGGCGTCGTTGTGGTCCAAGCTGGACGACGAGGAAGGCACGCCGACCGACGGGTCCCGGGACCAAGGCAGCGAAATCGAGCTCGTGAACCAGCAAGGGCCTGATTTGGTAAAACAACCGTATCACACAGAAGCGGAGATTAGTGTTAGCAGTCAGCCCCAGCATGGCCGTACCCCTAGCGATCACATCACGGTCGTAACTAAGGTGGATGTGACCACGAAGTAAATGTGGAATGTCCTTCACTAGCATGGGCGTATGGGCGACGAAAAAAAAAATAAAAAATTTGACGACTGCTTGGATGATTGGCCATGTAATAATATCAACTGGACTCCAAATTAGTTTAATTTAACGAGACGAGAAGAGAGGGGAGTGTGAGGTTCGCTCACTGTAAAGTTAATATACCAACGATATCTCTTTATCTCTTGGCTCTCGCACATCTCTTGGCTCCCGCTTGAACCGCGAGCTCTTGCTAGGGCAAAGACAAGTACTCGCTTAACTTAAAACGGGCATGGCGCGGCCTGGAGAATTTCCATTTACCGTAACACGAAATGTTGTGGCATCGTGCTCTGGCGATAATACGGTTCGGATCTGGAGCGTGGAGACGGGCGAGTGCGAACATATCCTAAAGGCCATAGTAAAGGGGTCTCATCGGCGGGCTTTTCACACGACTCGAAGGTTGTGGCATCGGCCACCGATGACTCGACAGTACGGATCTGGAGCGTGGAAACGGGCGAGTGCGAGCATGTGGTTGACATAGGTCTTACGCAAGCGCTCTATTTCACAGCCGACGATACTGGTCTCGTCACAGATGCTAGGGTAATCTCTCTCACCGATGAGTCAATAACCTCTGCAAAGCCCCCCATCCGACCAAGCTCTCCATCTGACCTAGACCTCGGCATCAATGGCAACAATTCTTGGTTTTGTTTAGTGACAAGGAATTGTTTTGGCTACCGGCTAAGTGTCGTCGTGGCAAACTTGCTATTTCAGGGAATAGTGTCGTCATTGGTTGCAAATCAGGAAGAGTGGTAGTCTTGTCATTCTCTTCTAGTGAGCTCAGGTGGTTGGCGAAGTGAGAAGCAAGGGATTGATGGTTTTAAATTCAATACAGTGCAGCCGACTTGGCCTTGAAGTTGAAGATGTGCAGCCATCGCTCACAATGCGTAAGTTCTAGTTAACCGTTTGGTTGACAAGTGCCAATCGTTCAAGTTCGATCAATGCAGCATCGAATCAAGGGTCTTTGTGAATACGAGTAAGCTGAGGCGAATCAAGGGCCAGTCAGTCTTGAACCCAGGCGAGCTTGATCTTTCGGCTGGTTTCAACAGCAAAAAGGACCAAGACTATCAACTCCAGGACGATCCATGCCATCATGAAGCATCTCAATTATAGCTTCCGCGACCAGGAGGCATTGAACTTGACGGATATAAAAAGACAGATACAAAATATAGAAAGGACAGACAGCAGGTAGACGTCAGTTATCTGATGGTGAGAGAGACTAGGACGAGAGATGAAGCCGCTTAAGATTTAAGTCCATGGACCCGCATGGCATGATTCTGAAAGTGCATCTTGTGGTCTAGCGATAGCTTGCAAACCTTGCAATAGATCTCACTGCCGTCCCGCAGATTGGATAGGTGCCTGCGCCGGAAGTGCTTAGATAACTGATCTTTTTCTTGCGGTCAAAGATGCTTGGCGGTAAAAGTCGTTGATTCCATCGCAGTCACGATCACTACGCTCCGAAAGGCTGCGGAGAAAATATGAGACTATGGACGACATAGACCCCCCGCCGGCTGTTCATGCAGCGGGCCAACGGCCTGGCCTCGTTCGGCACACTCTCGAGATTGTCAAAAGTCAAATGAAAGGCATCCCCGTCGCCGGAAATGTTGACGACGCGATGCGCTCGCTTAAGGATTGCCGACAAGAAGGTTAAGATCTTGCAGGATATGTTCGAGCAAATCGCTCTTCAATTGCAGACGTCGAGGCGGGCTCGCTACCTTGCCGCTGTGCGACAGCAAGGGATGGAAAGTGAGGCGGAGATCTTGATGGTGCGGATAATGGAAGCGACACTCGTCGTAGCTAGGACGGCGCTGTCAAGGATGCGACCAAAGCGCGGCTAAGGAATTGCGGGACCCTCTGAAGCCCTTAGGACCCTAAACCCTTAGGACCCTAAAGATCAATTCCGAGACGGCGCTACGCCGTGGCTCGCGGTCGTGCAACCTTGATCCACGCACCTCCGCCCGGCCATCGACGTCATCGGCCGGCCTACGCTCCGTCATAGTTCCGTTACGGAATCCTTCCAATTGGCATTGTTTGCCCACTGGATTGCAGGCCGACCGTCATCGTCCCCTGAATACATGGCCCCGGGCGCCGCCCGTTATTAGAAAACAGGGCCCAGCGCCGGGGCGTTGTTTTTTCTTAAAGGGGCGGCGCACCGTCTAGGAGAAGGAGTGGGATAGATGGATTGCCTAACGTTTTGAAGCATTGGCATATGAGGCTGCTGGTTCGCCATTGCATGGTTCACAAACCAAGATAATAAGATATAACCCAGAAACTATCCAATTGCCAAGAATTGACACAGCGCAGGCTTTTGCGCGCTGTCCGTCATACGTACGTATTCAAGACGCGCCCACCGTCCAAAGCTGAGGCCGTCACGGCGCCCGGATATATCCTCACCATAACATTAGAAACTAGTAGTACAATCGCCCCCTCTCCCTCATCTGCCTCCTCTCTCCTGTGTTCTTGCCCGTCTTTCATCTCCTTCTGCCAATGATATAACAATGCATGTTGCCTTCTGCGTGCCGATAACTTGGGGGTCCTCGAATCTCAGAAAGCGATCGCTTCGAAACGTAGATATCAGGGAAAAATAAAAAGACAACTGACTCCCCAAACGCCGAATGCGAAGGGTATCGATAGGTGATTAAATCCAGTAGGGTGTCCGAAGATCCCGTTGCTAAACCGCGATCCGTCGTGACACCAACGTTTGTGATGATGAGCGAGTGCTGTACTTGGGCATGTGTTCGTAAAGCATAATAAATTTGATGACTCCGGCGACTTTGAATATAATCGTTTCGCATGAGCAATTAGTCAGAGTGGTAGTCCTCAGACCCAGCTTCCAAATGGGCTTTGCTACAGTGAACCTTCCTATATTATTAAAGGTTGGAGATAATTAAAAAATATTAGCTATAGATCTTAATCTTATAAGAAAAGGCTAGTAGAACTTTAGTAGGAATTCTCAGCTATATTATATAAAATATTATATTAGAGATATAGGTATATATACTTCTTGCCAGTATAGCTATATATATAAATTTATAGGAAATTTAATTAAGTAAATTTCTTATTATATAGCTTATACTTATATTTTTTTTAGATTCTAGAGGAGATTTTAAAATTAAACTATTTTATTATTAACTAAAAAACTGGGTAGATCTAGAAAGCTATTAATTTTTAGAATTAAGAGAGAATTTATAAGTTAATAAATTTAATATCTAAATTAGTAGTTAAATAATTAAAAATTAAATTACTATAGTAAAAGTTAAAATTACTAGTAAAAAAACAAAAAAAAACTAGTAGAATATATAAAAGAAAAACTATATAAATTTATAGAAGATTTATTAATTTAAATATTATAGATATTTCTAAATATTTCTTAGCTTATAGCTAGTATATTATAGCTTATATTAAGAATATTTATAAAGCTTTTTTAATTATTATATAAAAAACTATTAAATTAAGTATTAGCTATCTAGCTTTTAAAATAAAATTTAATTCTATAAAATTCTTAAATAACTCTTAATAAATACTAAATAGTATAAACTACTAAAAAAACTATCTAATATAATTTATATTAAAAATAAATCTAAAATATAATAGCTAAATAAAAATAGAAATATAATTTATAGTCTTATAAAAGGTAATAAAAGTAGATATAAAATAGATATTAACTAGAGAAGCTGATATTATATATATTATATTTCTATATACAGCTAATATAATTTATATATAGCTAATACTGAGAAGATCTTAGAATATATTAAGTAAGTCCTATACTTATAGATACTAGCTATTAAAGGAGAAGGGCTGAGGCTACCAGCGGAGGTATTAGCAACAGGCATTGAGCCGTATAATATACTAGACGAGGCACTGCTGGTGCTGGCGCGGCTGCTATTCGGCGGCTTGCCAGCTATCATATTGGGGTTGAGAGCCTGATGGTTGCCGACGAAGAGACCGCCACCCGGCGGGGCGGGTTGAGGCGGTGACGATGTCGAGGATCGGTCACACAGATCCAAGATAAGATGATCGATTTGGTTGGGAGAAATATGGAGAGTTTTGTCGGGGCAAAGGTGGGATTAGCGAAGTCTTAAGTGTATGGGTGTGAATTGACGTGCGTCAATCCGCCTTCTAAAGCGGGCTGGGCAGCGGGAGAGCAGTGGAGTTCCCTGTCCCTCTGGGAAGAAAAGGTATGACGACTCTGGGTTAAGTGTTCGCAGGCCGATGCCCTTTTGCAATAGCTGAGGTGACAGGGTCGGTGCGATGAAGTGGGGTCGTAGGACCAAGTAGTGGACCAGGGGGTTGTTGGCTGTATCAGATAATGGCTGCTTAAATCAATTTTGACAGCCCACGGCACCCAGATAGTATCTGCGATACTAAGACGGTGCAAAGGTTATTAAGGTCTGCAGAGGCTTCAGTCAGAATATCCTATATAGATACACTAGGATATATTAACCTCTATAATCGGTTTGAGGTGGTATGGGTAAATAAGAATAGTCCTATCTAGTTTTCTAATTAGGATTAGAAATATATATAAAATTCAAATTAATAGTTTAAAACGGATAACAAGGTAACAGCTTATATATATCTCCCTTAAGAGGACGAACGCCAAATGATGTCGATGCTGAGTAAACTCTGTGGATTCTGTGAATTGAAAAGGGGGGTGGAAGATAGTGGCGGGGTTACGGGACCAGGGAGGGGGTGAGCCATCCGCAACGGACTGAGATAGAGGATGGAGCAGGGTGGTGGGTAAGGCTACGTACGGGCCGTCTATCGCAGGTTATGGGGGGGTCGGGGAAGATCCCACGTCAACAAGCAAAGCCTGAGCTAAGACGTACCGGATACCTTCTGGACGACCCAAAACATCTTGAGGCATCAAGCCGCCAGCAGCCCTGTCGCGGGAGGGTGTCGACCCATCAGAGCCCTGACGTATGGAAAGGCACGTTAAGAGGCGGCGCTGGGGTGTGTCGTTTAGGTGTGGGACTGTGGGACCCCCGTAAGAAACACAGGGATCGCCAGATGGTGAAGGGAATTGAAACAACGCTGCCCGCGAGGTAAGGCGTGAGCTGGGGGCACAGGGCGCTGGAAGCTGAAGGCCTCCAGCGCTCTGCCCACTGTGTCTTTAACAAATTAGCCGCGACTGAAAAGAACAGCGCTGCCCACAGTGCCATAAGGGACCTTCCAAGCCTTAGGTAGGGGCTTGTAATCAGAAACGCGGGTCGGGCTTCTCCATTCCAGAGGGTTGGCTAGGCCCTCTGGGACCTAGGTTGGCTAGGCCTGTACGGTACCCCTTGGCTCTTCCCAGGGACAGGTTACTTTCGTATCTGTCAAGAGGTCAAAGATATGTGTCTTGATTATTATCCCTAGCTAGCTAGGCGAGGGAATTGGAGCCTGTATGAGGTCCCGGCTGCCTGAGGCCACAGCCGCCGTAGGCGGCCGTGGGCTTCCTTCAACAGTATCCGGCCACAGTCTGCTGACCATCGTGGCAGCCTCCGACCATTCTTGCCAAGTTCCATCGGAACTGGCTCGCTGTTAGTGATTTTTAAAACTAACTGTCAGTGCAAATATACCTAATCTTAATTACATCTAGAGAAAACTGATGGGATCGTAGGAGGACCCCGCACACCGCCAAGTCGTAGGGCTTCCGGTCCGTCTTACAAGAACCATCCTCAATATCGAAGATTTCAAGGCCGCTACGGTAGTTCTTGCTATTAACGCACATTCCTTCGTCACATGTGGGATAACTTACTCGTTCCTGCCATTGAGCTGAATACTTTTGCTCACGTCGACGATCGGAGGCGATTCATTATCATGGTCGTTTTCGATATTACTGGCTTCGTCGACAATTCTGCGACTCTCCTTAACTAAATTCGGTATAGTAACGGCGCCACCTCATTTTGCTCAAAGTGATTATGTCCTACCAGGACACCCTAGCCATATTTAGACTAATCCGTCGTAGCATCTCCTAGAAAGTAAGGTGTAGCACCGTGGTCTTCGATACATCGCGGGAATGTGATGGGCAGCTTGCCGGAGAAGTCACGTTACAGGTGGACCTCGGCGAGGGCGCCGTTCTCCTGACCGCCATACCAGGCATGTATGGCAGGGTTCACATCATCTACCCAAGGCATAGCCACCGCACATGCCATCGCTGCTCTCGACTGCTACGTACCTGCATCAATCCCACAACCAGCACTACGGCAAAGTCCGCACCTGCGGAAGTCTGCACCGCTCTTCTCCAATACCGTCGACACGCGGTGATGCGCCCATGCGTCTCGGCACATGTGCTCGGTCCGCTCTTGGTGTGACCTAGTCAATCCCCTGAATGTAATATCTCTGCCGTGTGCAAGATTCCGCTATTCCAGCACAATCCCATCATACCTTATAGCCAAGTAACTTCGAACTTATTTTTCATATGGGTGGCCTGCGAATGTAACGAAGCCTGACATGGCGATGACGCTTCCCAGTCATCCTCGCCCATGACGCGTGGATTGAACGCTGAAGAAATTAGGTGTACACCATTCGGCTCGTCACACTTGTCACAAACTCACTTCCCTGCAGCTTGCATGTGATAAAAGGCTGCTCACGGAGACAGCCGTCTCCACGAGCATAACGGGGTCCCATCCACCAGCAGCAGGCCCAGGCTGTGTGACGCTTATTCTCCCTGGGGATCCAGACAATGGAATAGCACGACTTTTATAAGAAATTGTCCCTTAGCATTATATTGACACAATCTGCCCTCAATCGGGATATACATATATGCCGTTATTCAAAACAATGACGTATGTGACAGCAGAGCTTTGCCCTTCAGAATTGAGCGACTCAAACATTGGACAAGTGGAGCTTCCCAAAGGGCTCAGGGCGGCGTACTGTAGCGATATCAACTATCGTCAATTTTATCTACAAAAGAAGGTCGCCAGTTTCCACAGAAGCTACCTAAGTCCAACTACAACGACTTTCAGGTAAATATCCATTGGTGCCGTTAGAATTAGCACCTACCAAGAGGCTTGGTCATCCTGATTGGAGGCTTGAACCATGGCAGCTCAGCCACCCGACTTAACACGTCGGCACATCGCCAAGCCCCAGCTCGACAGCAGACAACAACAACTCCATAAAACCAGCACTAGTTGCTTTGAGGTTTGAGTTGTACTGAGAGACTGAGGGATAGAACGGACAAGACGCCGCACTATTTCCAAACCCATACTCCACCGTGTACGCATGAACAAGATTCTTACTAGGGTCCGCAAAGTGTCGCGAGTAGGCATAATCATCACTAGCTCCCGATGTGGGATACACGGCAGCTGCCTGCAAAGCCGTGTAGGCGCGACTGCCGCCCGCGGTCATGGCAGAGGCCATACGCTGGGCCGTGGCGATATTGGCATTGAGATCCGCTGTCGACGTGTACTCGCCGTAGCCTCTGCCGCAGCCCGGTATATCGGAAAGGAGACCGCGAATACTGCTATAAGAGTCGTTGAGAAAGTTCATGTACGGCCACTTAGACTGGTTCTCGTCACTGCCCCAGCTATAAAGTACGTCGCCACCGTCTGAGTGTAGGTCAATAAACCAGCGGATCTTGGAGTATGTATCAAACACCCATTTGATATTCTTAGTCTC